CAGTTACTGGAACACCGCCACACATACAGACGGTAAACCTATTTCGCCTGTTCGTCGAGCTTGGCAATTTGTTTGCAAACGTTTCATAGCCAGCCGAGGTGACATCATCAGTACTTGTGAAGTGGCCATTTCACTTCATATATATATATATATATATATATATATATATATATATATACATATGCAACCAGTTCAGCTTAGGTCAATTACAACCGGAACTATACAGTTCCCTTTCACTCGAACTCACCTCTTGCTGTTCGGATGGTAAGTCCTGATCCAGAACATCGTAGACGCGATGCAATTTGCTCAATCCGACATCACGCAGGCACTCTCTAAATTGACAAAAACAAAATAACCTAGATTTTCGAGTGTAAATAAAATCACACTGTTCGGCTGAAATATCGGTCTCGATTCCGAGACTGGGATAAAAGTCACCAATGACACTGATTAAACACCAAGGGACAGAGTAAAAGTGTTGGAACACCGATGGGAAATGAGGAAAGATGAGGAATTCCGACAATATGAGGAGTAAAATATGTAACTTGTAGCACGAAAATTTTTTTTAAAAAACGTACTGCTTCCATTTGGCAAAAATCGCCACCTGATTGATTCGACTGCAACGGGCCAAGCATTGGTGAAATGGGAGATTAGAGGAAAAGAGCATAATTGGAGTTGTCCCGCCCCAACTTATACCCAACTTACCCAACTTATACCTGATGCAGGTGAAGAAATGGCGCACATCAGATGTGAGGTGAGTATAACTGCACGTGGATCGTGCGGTCACTTTGATTGTGTTCTGTGTGGCAACATTTGCTCCACAGCAGTGAAAAAATCAAAGCCTCTATTTGCACATCAAATTGTGGTCTTATGTAGGTGCTAATATGTGGGATCTGCTCGCCGATTCTGTAGAGTGATGCATCGTAGGTACAGAACAAGAGAAAACAACATTGAATTAAGCAGACTAAAAATTGCTTGGCATGTGCTATAAAGCCAAAGCTGAAGCACCTATATCAAGCCTTTAAATCTGAGCATTTGTAGTGATTTCGATGCGATTGTCATTCGTAACGTGGGTAAAATTAACATAAATCCGATGAGAAAGTCGAGTGTTCGAATCCTGCACCATTTTCGCTATTTCCTTGAACGGGTTTTCACTAGCCCGAAGCCACTTTTGGTACACAATAGAAGGCTGGATTTAGTCACATGAATTTATAACCCATTTTGGTTGGATCTCACACTAAGCCAAAAGCCTGATCACAAGATTATGCCCGATGGGGAACGCCCTTATCTAAATCTAAGGTCTCAATCCGAATGACTGACCACATTACGGAGTTCATAATGAGATAGAAGAAAGCCAGATCGATTTGGACGAACAACACAATTGTGATAAGGTTGTTTTCAAAGATGAGTAAGGAATGGTTACTTAAAACGGATGTTGCACTCGTGGGACATCTCGTCCGCATAATGAAAACAGCGGGTGCGAGGGAATTCATCGGCAAAGTCGAATCATGTCGCGTGCATCATTTTTGTGTCTCTCTGTCGAATTGACGGAAGTGTGACAAGGTGAAAAAGCGAATACTAATGAACTTCCAACCATGTGACCTGAACTCGGTCAAAAACGAGACATTTGTTTGGTGTGTGTAATTTTTATTGACCGGGAGCATTCCGGTTTACCCCCGATCGACCTGGTTGTCAGCGAAGAATGAGAAACGGTCTGGATTTATCATTTCAACTTCCGAAGTGGGTTACGCAATTATGGAGCCCGATAATTTGATGAAAAATCAAATATCTAGCATAAGATGTGACGTGATTCATAGGAAGAGGTGTGATCGGAAAAAATGGCAAACCAAGCCACAGCGCAAGTAAACAGGACAAATGGGGTTTATGACAATGAACTCACTTGTGCAGATTGGCAAAACGGTCTTTTAGGCGAGTTGTCCGACTGATAGTTTCGTCATCTGCTCAATAATGGGCCAGTAAAAATAATGCACATTAGCACTGCACAGTAAGAAGCGATAAATCTAGTGACTCTCTTAAAAATTATCTCAGTGTAATACAAATAAGAGGTGTCTTCATATTAATGTAGCAAAGAAACTGTTAGTGAGTGAACGTACCTAATTCAACCGCTTTATTACTCCCAATTAATCCCGATGAGTCGGATTTGTTGATGATCGGAATTGTGAAAGGATCATTGGAGTTCTTCTCCAGACAGTGGTTAAGTGCAACATTTCCCTCGATTCATTATTATTATTATTACTATTATTACTATTATTATTATTATTATTATCATTAACTCATTCCCCATTTGAGTGGTCAAAGTACCAAACAGAGCCAGAGCCTGATCCGCAAGGCAGCGATGCACTGCATGAAAGCCGTAATCCACTGAGAATCGGTGCACAATTAGAACACAATTTCAGGCGAACAATTGTTTTCAATAACTCATAATCATGCCGTTACAGTTTATATGAGGGGAAAAACGTGGTCTGCCAAAAATCCATAAAGCTCAGGTTCCCCTTCGCCCCATCGTATCGATGACAAATTCTCCACACCACGCTGTTGCTCAATGGTTCACTGAAATCCTGGAACCCGAAAGAAAACAAAGTATAGTATTAAGGATACCTTCCAGTTTAGTGAAGCAATATGGGATATCGATGTGGTAGATAAGGTGATGGTGTACATGGATATAGTATCACTTTTCACCAACGTGCTACTAGTGGAACCCATCCAATTCATCATAAAACATCTTACTGATAACGAAATTGATTTGGGGATACCCCAAGAAAGGCAACGCGAACTTTTATTTCGGTGTACGTATAACGTTCAGTTTCTTTTCAATGCAACGGTCTACCGACAAAAGGAAGGAGTAGCAAGGGGGTCACCACTAGGATCCATTTTGGGGGATTTTTCATGGCGATGCTGGAGAATAATCAATTGAAAGGTGCCGTTACTAGTAAATAAATAAATATTCTCGGTCTGTTGACGACATATTTTGTATAATTGATTCAAACTACGAACTGGATCAACTACTAGAAAAGTTCGACTTCACACACAAGGCCATAAAATTTTCAAAGGAGGTAGAAGCAGATGATCAAATAGCGTTTCTATATGTACTCCTCATTAGAAGACGTGATGGATCTATAACGCCGTGTGTACCGTAAGAAAACTTGGAGTGGCCAACACACGAATTTTCACAGTTATGTCCCGATTAACCAGAAGAGAAACCTGATAAAATATGACTCGGAGAGTCTGTCCACAAGAAGTATTGGAAAATGAACTCAAGTTTATTTTAAACGTGCTCAGAACCAGTGGCTACTCCGACCGCCTCATTCAACAAAATATGATGGAACAGGTACCAAAAGTACATACGAACAGGGTGGAAANGTTAGTCTTTCTTTTAGGGGTGAAGTTACCCCTGAAACCCTCATAATACAACTGATTAGAGCGGTAAAAGCCACATTCAACGCAGCGCACTTACGCTGCTCTTTCAAAGTTCGCCACTGATAACCATACGGAATACAGANGATGATTGTTTACTCGTTCAGATGCGTTTGTGACGCACTCTACGTCGGTCGTACGGCAGTTATCTATTGACATCACCACCACCATCCACGCTGGCTGAGTCAAGGTTTTTCTGGATCTATCACGCGTGCGATTCTCACTCACTCGGTAAGCACTGGCCATGGTATTAACCCAAGTGAAACATTCTGCATTATTTATTAAGTTCCCCGGAATCGGTCCGAATGTGTTAGAATGCGTACGTTAGCCATAGCCGAGGCCATCTGTATTACACATTTAGCCCCCGAACTATGTGCTCAGAGGGGTCTTATCTACGCTCTCCGTCTCCCATGGTTTCGCGAACACACTCTTCCCCCCCCCTGCTCACACACACACTTTTACACAACACCGATCCTTCAGAACTGGGTCACACGACCAACGTAACATAACTGAAACCCCCGGGAGCACAGATCTGAGAATGTGGTGTACAGCACACACACACACACACGCATTCACGAAGTGAACGATTCCTCACATTCTATTGTTCTCCTCCCAACCTCTGGGCTTTTCCCCTCATATAAACTGTAACGGCATGATTGTGAGTTATTGTAAACAATTTTTCGCCTAAAATTGCGTTCCAAATGCGAGCATGAGTATATTTCGAAATTTGAGCAGTGCACAATCAACCGAATTATCCACGTTTTCAATGGAATCAAATGCCAGGGTGCACCTCGATGTCCAACACAACGGAGGACTACTGCCAGAGGGCATGAGCGTTGTTCATTGGTGGGTTACGGTTCTACCGACTGGGGATAGCAATGTCTGAAGTTTGATGAGTATCCCATGCAGATGGATGATTTATTTGTCTGTACAATCATTAACCATGCACTTTCGTGCACCGATTTTGGCTACTGCCTTTTGGCCTCCCATTTGGCTGAAGAGGTGGAAGAAAGACTCGAATATTGTGATTTACCGTGTGTGTGTGTGTGTTCCCTATAGTCGATGAAGATAATCGAGATGAAAAATATCAGTCTTATCACGATATCTTTTCACGCATTTTGCTTCAAGCTTCATCAGATATCATTAGGCTGCCTATCGGTGAACGCAACCACTCGAGCAAATAGGCTGAACCTCACAGTCTTGTTGACCCGTTCATCCGCCCTGTCCTCCCCCCTGCCACACACACTGAATCACTATTACATTACACAACCTTGACCGAGTCCGAATGATTCGGTTTGACCTGAATTCGTACTTGACCTCTTAAACGCTCCCGGGTCTCATGAACAGTTGTTGGGCGAGCTGAGAGTGATTACGTCATACAAATAGCCGTGTTTGATGTTCACGTTTCGAATCCGTTACAGGGTTCACTTCAGTCAATCGAAGAAATTTGTCAGGAATGTTTGCACAGATCGATTAGATCGTTTTTGGCTAATTCACTGCTTAATATTGCCAGAACATCCCGGCTTGCTTTTAGACTGAGAAAACGAGCGATTCTATGCGGTTTGTGTCACGCCCAGAAGTATCCCCGACAGCACACAGCACTGAATTTAGCAAACATTCGAAGAATGGTCCTAAAAATTGAATTTTGAGCGCAGTAGATATAAGATAAGAAACACTTAGAGACATCATTACATTCAACAATAAAGAAACGACTAGACGGTGAAAAAGGATTTACTCACGTGGTTCAGTCGGTCCTTTGACAGAGTCACAGGTTTCGCTCTGATCCAGTGGATTGAGCGACTTCACTGAATGTTCCATGCGGATTGGGGTCGACTTTTCTACGTCTGGAGTAGAAAGTCCCGGGAATGGACAAAGTTCCACTCCGAGTGGGGAAGTGGACTTGAGATTACAAGCTGGTGAGAGCAGACGGACAGCAGATTCGGGCGTGTCCCCCAGACGTAGTGTCTCGACCATACACGTGGTCACATGAGCCATCTCTCTCTCTTCTCTGTAAAATCAAAATAGGACACTAAATCAGACATTGCAGTGTCTTGAAGCTTTCGTGTGACACATTGCTGGCCTTAGAGAAATGGATTAGTGTCTTTTAGCAGGGACAAACATGAAAAAGCGATATATATATTCCATTATTTGAATTATAGTCCCAATAATGAGTAGGATTCACTGAAGTGATTTCTACTATGAAAGAGAAACCTCACGGTTAGTGTTTTCTTGGATAATTGTCTTAGTGAAATCTCCAAACATAATAATGTCAACAAACTATTGTATTCAACACGTCAATAACATCAAGTGAGTGAGTAAATTTCGTAATTACACCGTGTGTTTTGTGTTCCAACTAGTATTCATGGTGCATTTGGTCAGAAATGTCATCCTGTTATGTAATTTCCGGGGAAAAGTTTTATGGCACTGCTAGTTTCTGTGAGTTTATGTAAAAGGTAAATTGTGGGGTGCAACGCGCCAAGTTTTGACGTAGTTGATTGAAGGTCACCAGAACACTACGATATGAGGGCTACTTTCTGTGATACTGGTTGATTTTCTTTCATAGGATCAACACCCCACAATCACTGCACCTTCTCCTTTGCACATAAACTGCTTCCTGGTTGACTAGGACCTTTTGGTGCGATGATTGAACGAAATCCGTACGCAACGGACTATATGTGAGAGAGCATAAAAGAACACGAGCGTTGAGCACCTCCTTTGAATCGTTCTCAGGGCTATTTAGTTGACCAAGTTGGAATACATCGACACATCTGATCGAAAATACCAGCGTGTGGAATTACAGGTAACCAGCAAGCCTTGGTATGGGCTCGTCACAAATGATGATGAGTATGGGAATCAAGAGGTGCACGTCTATTTCGTTTGAGGCGTCTAAATAATCCATGTCATCAAGACGAGGTTTCTATCAGCTACTGTACAAATGATTTTGTTGTTTTTCCATTTAGGATGTACAGGAAACCCCGAAAGTGCAACAAAAAGCGTTACGCATGGTAAGTGAACAATATGATGACTTCCATTTCCATTCTTGGAGAGTTATAACGAGATACTACTACAACAAAGTGACAGCCACGCCACAACACACGAAACGAAAAGAATGCTGTTCAGTTCTCACTGACTACAATGAACACCTGGGTGTTAACAAACAAATTGGTCTCTCAAATCAGTAAAAGGGCAAAATTACGGACAGAAGGAGATCCAAGTCGATTCGGTACTGGCAGAACAAAAAAGGTAATCCCGTAAGCGGCAATGACTCTCGTGATTAACGTACCGTATGGAAGGAGGAACGCGTAGCAGATCTTGACCGGAACCAAGAAAACTGAGCCGCTTTTTTGAATCCGAAGACGTCACACTTGACGACTCCATCAGACTCAATCCGGAATCGCTAGATCCACCGAACGATCGATGTGACAGATCACGGGATTCGGAAGAAGGAACGCTCGACGAGGACGGTGTGGATGTGATCTGTGACACAGAAAGTACGACGGATCAAATGTATGAAAAGACTTTAGTTTGAGAAAATTGTTTATCTAAATGCAACGACAATCTTTAGGATGACCGACATTGCGCACCGAACAGCAGCAGTGCGTAATTTTTTGTCCCTATCAAGACTGTAACCATGATCCTTCGGGTTGAGAATTCGAACCCTTACGCCTGAGCTATACGGTTGACGGCCATTACCTTGTGCTGATGGCTCAATCAATTTAGACGGTGAATGTTTGGATTAACCCATTTTCTTTTTCGTAGACACCAGGCACTGTGTATGATCTTGGATGTGGGTTTCACTTCCTGGGAGATCGCTAGTTCTTCACCATCAAAAGTGCCTGTGAAAAGCCGAATGGGTTAATCCCAAAGCTCATCGTCTAAACCGAGAACGTTGTGGTGTAGTAGTTGTACATCGTTCGTTTTTGCGTAATTTTCGTATCGTGAAATGCGATAAAAATGATGACTTGGGTATATTAGTCACATTCGGAAAATTACAGATTCATGGACTGAGATTAAAATAATTCATGATCAGGAAACCAACTTAATGAAAATCACCAAAGGGAAACAAACGAAAGTATGGCACCGGGCTCAGGCGTTATTACAGTTAGGTTACCGTGGCTTCGTTCTCAGTTCGTGCGAACTCATAAACAACCGAGTATGTAGACTGTTGTTTCTACATGGGTACTCTGTGCATTTTGTATGCGATGGAATTTTGCGTGTGATGGTGAAGAAACAACACCGGGCTGTTGCTTCTTCTCTGGTGGGATTCGGCGGAAGTGCGTATTTTTTATGCAACCATGTATTGAAAGGGCTCTACCTTTTTCAGTCAATACCGCCGAATATTGGGAGAAACGATTTCGGCATCGATCAAGTCACCCTGTAGTACTCTGCTGCCCGGAATGACCACCTTATGAGATATCTCTTTAAGTTGTTGCTCAGGCAGAGTCGGCTACACTACCGGTGTTACTCTTTCGGCGTCAGATTATGTAGTACCTGAAACTCTCTTCCATCCCGCTTTCTTTGTGCTCCAGACATCGATTCATTCATGTCGCGCTTTCGTGAAGCATTGAACCACCCAACGGTCCAGTACCCCTGAGAAAAAAATGAACATTTATTGTTATTTTTACTTCCATCAAAACTTAGTGCTCATAAACCATATGGGACTCAGTAAGCTTTAGCTTTGCATTTTACTTATAATAAAATTTGAATTTTTTAGGCGTTGACCATCAAATGTGTGGATTGAGAGGTTACGGTTTTGGGGCTTCCACATCGTGGGCTGGCGTTTCCGTTTCTGGCAGCCTGACGAAAATAGTGAGCAATACTGACGAGTATCACCAAGAAGGAAGCATCGGTTTATTCCCTTCTGATGTGTATTACATCAGAGTCTCATCGCCATACGATTATTTTAATTAATCTACTTGTGCATTCGGTAATCCCCTAATCGTTTTCAATGCTAGCTAATGACTTATGTACGTATTTATGCTTACATGCACTCAAAACGCTCAACCATCATATTGAGGAAAAAATGTGTAAGCAGAATCATTTTTATGACTGATTAAAAAGTATTGATTACGTTGGTTTACAGGAAATTACAAAGGGATTTTTCACCTTTCACCTATACTTTCTCTGCTAGCCTCAGCGGTTACACCCACTCCGTGTCACCTGGTTTGAGCACGCACAAATTACAGACGTAGTTATAATACTGCGCCCTGGACGGGTTCTGTCTAGACTGAATGATGATGTGACGATGTGTTTTGCAGGCCTATAGTAACTCTTCACGCGTGGGCGTCTGCCAAATAAATGTAGGATCAGGTGGTCGATTATTTGGAGAAGAAAATTCAGCAAAGTGACATTTCCTGATAATTATTTGACCTTATTGATACCGATTTCTGATCGGTCATTCGAGTGATTTTAATAGGATCTGATAACGCAGTGTTCGATAAGCAACTGACCACAGAATGGCTGGAACTCGGTGCTACATAAAAGAGGATCATAATTTGGGAACGTCTAAATTACTATTCCGTATTGCGTCAAATGATAGCATGCGCTACTAATTGTATCCGCGGCATATAAACTTTAAAGTAGTCACTGTATTAGATCAGTCCTCCATCTAAAATGGGACTACCACGGAAGTAAATTACCTCAAAAGGTATAAGGCCTCCGGCTCGGATGAACTGTCCTCATCGGCTTTTAAAATTGAAGGTCCAGCATTGGTTTGGGGTTAACAAAACTCCTGGGTTCAATGTGGGAGAGGGAAGAAGTTCGAACTGAATGGTGTGTATCAGTTATCATACAAAAAAATGACAGATCCTCTTTTGAAAACTACAGAGGAATTAGTTTGTTCAACATCGTCTTTAAGCTTCTTGCCGGTGTTATAGTCCGTCGATTGTCTGCCAAATGTAAGGAGTACACGATTGAGAACCAGACTGTCTTTAGGCCTGGTCGAGGGTGTATCGACCACATCTTCACTGTTCATTAAGTTCTAGAACAAACACTTCTTGAGCAAACCCACCATTTTCATCTTCGTGGATGTGAAAACAGTTTTCGACTCAGTTCACTACTCTATACTCTGGCACTGCCTCCCTCCGAAGGGTGTGCCCGAGGAGTTTATTTCAACATTACGATCCTTTTATACTGATGGCCGAAGCCAATTCCAAGCTTACGGCACTTCACCCGAGTTCACGACGAAAGACGGTGTTCATCAGGATTGCCCTCTCTCGTTTTCTATTCAACTTTGTCATAGATTCATTTCTTGAAAGAGCCCTATTCTCGTGCGAGGATAGCTGTATAGATTAACTCCCAGGTGGCAGACTGCCTGATCTATAGTGTGCAGCCGACCTTGTGTCATTGAGTGAAGATTTGGGTAAGTTTCAAGTTTTTTCTCGATAGTTTGAATGCTAGTGCAGCCATGTTCGGCATGCATTTTGCACCCTCAAAGGGTAAATGCTGCTACAAAATTGGATTGGAACCTATTCCGCATTGCACGAGTCTAGTGGGGAAACCGGGCAAGCAATAGTGAATTTAGACGCAAAGTTTTAGGTTGTAACGGTCGCCCACTGGAACAATTGGTCGACCTCCGTAGATTGTGTTGGTTGGGGCATGTGTCACGCATGTTCGTTGGTCGATGGGGGGGCAAAACACGGCGTTTGATGGATTGATTCATATTGCCCAACTGGAACTGAATTTGATCCCACCACGACGAAGCTCAGGCAAAAGACATCCCAGTTTACGATTTCTCATAGTAGCAGTGACTTATCGTTTCGATTCCATACTAACACGGTACCACATAATTAGCCTCGTTTGTGTAGGAGCCAGGATAGCATTGGTATAAAATCTCTCGAATATCTACCGACGTTTGCAAAGGATTCGAACGGGAATGTTCGTTCTCTCCCGCTCACTAACATTCTGGCATGCATACCTTTCCGCCTAGCTGGCATTTACACGCCAGTCACGCAATCAGTTGCGGAGATGTGAGGTCGCGAAGCCAATTAGCCGTTCTTCATGAAACACTGCTAAAAATGAATGCACCTCTTGCGGTTATCACACGTCTCTCCGCGGGACGCGAAAATGATTTCATACTTATGCCTGAATCCCGAGACAAGATGGATATAATTATACTTTAGCGGCGCTTTCTTTTTGGTGGTAATTTCATTATGGCTGTGATCCTGCGTCAATCGAAATGTCTCTATTTGTTTCTCCGTTTCTCCTTCATTCCGACATATATTAATTAATTGTTTTTGTTAGCTTTGTAAACTTCAAAGGACTCTTCACCACGACAGTGTCCCGTAAACTAAAGATAACCCATTTCCTTAGTGAGCTTTCTTCTAGGCAAGCACAGAAATTGCACAAAATCTTTCTTTGAATGAAAGTGCTCCGTCGATACTATATATTACCCAAAACCCGAGGCGAACAATCTTATTTCGACGGAGAAATAATCTTTTGATGTGCTATCCTGGAATGTTAAAAATCAGACCACATTGATGTCACTCCTTCGTCTTTTACCATCCGACTAAAATGCTGTGAGTTTTCATGATTAAACCATGTCCCCATTGGCAAGTCTTCTCGGGCCGACTTTCGTTGATATAAACTAAAAATTTGACTTCTCTTGAAAAACACGAGTCTGCAGCAGTGAGATAAATTGTGAACAACCACACACACAGCAACGAAATGACAGAAAACTACTTGGTCACGCATCCTCAAAGCAACGCAGATGAAAGAAGTAGCTTACCTGATCCAATCGTTCCAACAAGCTCGGGGACGACGATGTCGTGGAAGAGACGTAGCCCATATCGGGGGATCGAAGAATACGAGAACATGCGACCGAACGAGTCCGCGGCAGCGGATCCGAGATGCATGAAACTGCATGACCGCTGAGGAGATCGAGATTGTTTGCCAGACCAGCACTCAAGGACACGTGTTGAGCGGTCGAGCCTGGTAATCGCGACGATGAGGTGGAATGAGCAGTGGATGAGGTAAGGAGATGGTCCGGATGAGAAGACGGTCGTTGTGGTGTGTCTAGCTCGGTCTGTATTTTGTGCTTATCCGAAGCACTGTTATTCCGCTGTCGTAAAATAATACGGCGAACAATTTCGGAACTCTCCATTTCTTCCGATCGTTGGCCTGAAACAACGACAGATTGCACAATGATGGTACTACTCGAGATAATCAATTCAGATTATCATCACTGGAGCAACTGTATGTATCTGAATGCCCTGTTTGTCATTGAAATCCCAATGAGATTACCGGGTCAAAACTTGTCTCCACTTAGTAGCTGACAAAATATACATTGGTCTGATTAACCGGAAGTTCGATTACATACTGGGATGTAATAAACTGCAAGGACGGTAAACCCCAGAGACCCAGAGACCGATGGTCAACGTAGTTTTAACCGTATGGATTGGCGCAAAAGAAAGCATGGGACTTTAGGTATTATGGTGAACAGATTTGTGAAGGCACCCAATCCGCGAGTGACGGTCGGATTGATGCCTTTATGAAACCCGCGCTTTTGTTTTCACTCCAGTCACTCTTCATCGGAGCTTGTGCAGAGACACTGTGTTCAGCTACTGTGCATATAGTGACCAATTTGAAACAAACATCTGGCAAGAAGAAGGTGGTCAAGTTTTCCGTTTCCTCTCTCTCTCTCTCTCTGGGGTGCATTCCATCCAACCGAAGACTACGATAATATCACCTCTGGCACTTTGTCATCACATAAAGAATCCGGATGTTGTCAAGGGTGACTGTATAATTGTATCAGATACCGCAGAGATGACATAAACCAATTTCAGCCTGCACATCTGTTAAACCTGTATTACAATAACCTGGTTTGACCGCAGTCCGATTGATGAGCAAAATTAGGATTGCAAGGAAGTAGTACTGTGTATCCCCGTGCCAGGCAAGCAGTCCCAAAAAAGGAACAAAGAGAGCGGAAAAGAGCTGTATGTATTTTTCGAGAAACAGCCTCTTCTGTCTGTACTGCTCGCTTGATTCAAGATCTTTATTTCGTTTATTGAATACATTTATGTGAGAAAAAACGAAACAATAAACTGTCACAGGATACGAACAAAACGTTTGCTTTTCATGACGAATTCAAGTAAGACATACCTCCTTTTTCACTTAAACGGCGTCGTTCACGTCGCCGTTGTCGAGCATCCATTAGGGCCCATTTGACTTCTGTCCTTCCTACAGAGTAAAGGGGTTGTTCAGCAGCTGATGGAATGTTTGGCTCATTCCGACTATCCAGGGCGTCCTCGATCGGAATTGAGGGACTGATTCGGTCTTTTGCTGAAGTCGGATGTATGGTTTGTTTAGCATCTACTACTAGAGAAGCGGTAGGTGAGTGGGGAGTCTGAAGGGTATCGAAAGACAGGATGATTGAACTTGGATCAAGTGTCGAAGAGGAGGAACATTTTGATGTGAGAGTAGTTGGTTGAACCGCAATCGGCAAGGTAGGTTTGATATTCATAGGTGAAGGTGAATTCACAACGACTGGAGAAGTACTGGTGGGAACTCTGACCGTAATCTAAAATGAAGTAAGAGTGGTGCGCGCGCAAACAATTTAAAGAATAAGTGGAGATTACAGTGTCGGTAAGCTGTTCATACCTGGATAAAAATTGCGAAATGATACGCAATGAAATCAAAACTTTAAATGTGTGGAAAAAGTCTTTTTTAATTACCTCAGGCTATAACAGAGCAATACCTTATTTGGCCGAAAAATCGAGCGTCAAAGATGTTATCACTATCGGATAGTTTGGTGACGATGGCGCAAGAGAGCTATATTGCGTAATGTCTACACATATTAAGCTGATGAGAAACAGTGCAGCTACAACGCATCGGACCACCAAATACTCATACCTGGATTGGAATCCGAATGAATTCAGTGAACACGCATTGTTGATGACGATGATTTTGAAACGGCTGCACATTGAGTGATTCCAAGGCTCTTTAAGTGGTGAGTAATACGCTGACAAATCTACCTTTAAAAACAAACTATCAATCTCATCATCATCATTATAATCGTGCAGCCATATACAAGTCAAAGCCAAATCAAGTCAAGTCCAGTAAAGCTTTATGCGCCCAATAGGATGAATTTTCAGCACAAGTTACAACGAGAAAAACGTTAAGCACTGGAAAAGAAGAAACACACATTTACTGAATGGATAACAACTGAATGTGATAAAATCCTCATGTGAGAGATGATTATTCAAGTCAGTGGTAATATTTGCTCGGTTAACCAAGATACGAGTACAATAGGGGATGAGGCTGTTTTTATATGTGGTGGTGCGCGCACAAAGAATCTTAAATCTGGAAAGCGCACTGAGATGAGACACCGATTTATTGAGATGGGCATACAGGCGATGTTCTTCATTTGACAGTATATGACTGACAAATCTATCGCATGAATCAAAATGCTTGCTCACAATAAAATCTACTAAAACAGTCTTTCAAATGTCACTGCAACGGGAAAGAAGTTCGAGAGATCTGGAAAAGAGAATAAAGAATACTTATCGATTGCTGCATTCATTACCCATTGTGCGGCCAGGAACTGAGATAGTATGTTTCTGATGAGATTTCCGTGTTACGTATACCAGATTAGTGCTGTCCTATCTGTAATCCTCAATAAACAATTATCCTCAACCGGCACCGTCTTCTGGAACTATAACAGAAGGATAATTATCCCATCCATTAGGGGCGGAACCTTGTGTAAATTGGTTCTCGCGCCGAACAATAGAGCATGTGTATGAAGCTTCAAAGTCACGTCAAAACTACCCAAGTTTATCATTCTCCGTAGAGTATTCAACACTCGCGAGAATCAGATATGTCTTTCGAACTGGTCCCTGATGAATTAACTGAATCTCTACTGCCCAACAAATATTTAGAACAGAGTTCTATTTTCCATAGACGCATAATCGCTTGAATCGGACGCGGTATTCTATTGGACTAGTTCCATGGTTGAACAACGTTGACTATCTATGAAGCGTAAACCAAAGAAATTTGTCCCTATCTTCTACTAGCTATGACTGAATGACCCTAACCTTATACAGGGAAAGGATTGTATTCTACCGAAGTTAACCGAAAAAAGAGATATGGTTATAGTTACTTATATTTTGCACTTATCCCACGCGGTTCGGTTTTGACGGAGTTCAGAAACCGCTCCAACCTTGCATGAGAATAGAACATTCGAACGTTCTACCATGCGAGAACACACCTTATCGCTGGAGTAAGCAAACAATGTGACAACTGAGTAAGGTTGGTTGGCAGCTTTTGTGAATTCATCAAGTAATGGTATGGTCTCGTTTGACATTCGCTTCGTAGCTTGAAAGTAAAAAACACTATTACAGGATTGGGTCACCGTTGTCCAAAATCGTGTATAGGGAACGGACAGAGAGGTAGCAGATGAAAATTGACAACGGGGTATTCACACTGCTCCGGTTGACAAGCAACGAATGAGGTGCCATCATAACTTCCAAAAGTCCCCTTCGCCTTTACCCTCTTGCGTCACTTTTGGCGTTCATCAACTTGGCCGCCCAGTAACGTGTTCACAGGGGCTAGAGTTCAGGTAACCACACTGGACTGTTCAGGTGCACCATCCGGACGGTGCCGGAACGTCCATGTTCACACGATGATGAAGCCAATAAGGTCGGGAGTAATCTTATTGTCTACCTGTGTGCATGTGTTGGGATGGAGGATGATTATTTCAGCTCAACTAAAGGGCAATAATGTTATGCAACCTGTCGGCCGAAGTCGAGTTTCCTTCAAATATCACCACTGATGTCGGACGAATTACAAAATGGATCAAGATGTTAGACAATTGGGTAACCATCAAAATTAGTGCAAAATGGACAATCAAGATAACAGTGAAATTGTTATCTGTTCTAGTATGAGGAATTGCTTTGTCCCCACAGCAATAGTAATAATAACAAAAATAATAATGACAATATAGTTTTTTCTGAGGGAAGCAAAATAGGATTCCATCAAAAAAGCACTTCAACGGAAGATTTAGTTTCCGTTTTCCACTTTATTTAACAGTTATCGGAATAGTTAACGGGTACAATGCGAATAATAGGTTCCGCTATAGAGCATACCTTTTTTCCATATTTGTCTGGCAGAGGCGGTTTCCTAATAACTTCACGGGATTCATGCACCACAATCGCTTTGAATTCTGGTACGAACTCTGGCTGTTCAGCGGAACAGATGCTCGATCTTTCTGTTATGCCAAGGGATAGGTCTCCTATTGTGGAACTCCTGAAACGAAGATCGGTAACATATGTGCATGTGATTTATGAGATGATTTAGAAGGAAAAATTACATAGTGGCGGGATTGGTCAGGCGGTTAAGAGTATCGAAATCCATCACTGCCACCCTATTTACCGATTTCTTTGTATCACATGGTAGCCATTTGATTGGCTACTTCTACCTTAGTGAACACTAATTAAACAACCAAGTTTAACAAAGGATTGTTTTTTATGAATCCACTCAGATGACAGGCTGATCCGGACGGGTGGAGATATTGGCATCGACTCAGAGAAAAAATACGGAAATGCGGCATCTCAAGTGTCCTGGCTCATTCATGGATCACACACTGGTGAATTCCGATCAGTTCGTTTGGCATTTTAACTACCGTTAGCTATTTCTCCGGGATGAAGTGCAAGTTTGTTGTGTGCGAGGTGCTCTGCTCGGGTATTGCACGCAATTCGTTAGAAGTCAGTACTCCGTACATGTCAAGATTTTTCCCCAAGATGCTCATAAATTCTGTCCCCTAACTCTTTTCTATCTCTCTGTTCAACTTGGTGAGAGAAACTGTCTCACAAATGGGCCCATTCTCCCATTCTTTTCGTTGTGCTTAGTGCATATCAGCTAAGAAAGAGACAAACAAAACTGGGTCACTTTCGAGGAACAGAATAAGTGAGTAGCCCAACAAATGTTCCCTAACGCAAATGGTTTTCTCTGAATCTATATATAAGCTGGAACAGTCCCGAAACTTTTGCACTCCTTTCCAGTTGAAACGGGGCTCACATATGCCTTATTCTGACAACGGATGCTAAATTGAATCGAGATCCGGGGATAAGGCTTCCGACCGTTCAGACAGGAAAACAAAAACAGTGCGGTTAGGTTATCCCGATGTACGATATTTGTCAACGCAGTTAGTGGATGGAGTAAACTTGACGGCGGTCAAACTAAGACCTGGCATGCGGGTATGAAAACCCTAACCAGGAGACTTGATCACAGAGGCTGTGTTAGGTTCCCTGGACGGGGATCTCGAGATCATCGTATTCGGTAATTAGAGACACTGAAAGAAATAGATTTGTTGCAAACCGGGGCGCTCGTGCATCTCCTCATTATCCTTGCAACCTTGGTCTAGGTTACAGTTTTCAGTTTCAGTTTGTGCAACCACTAACCATGCACTATCGTGCGCCGGTTTTGGTTGCTATCTTTTGGCTGCCAAATTGGATAGACATTAGGAGAAAGACAGGAAAGTTTGAAATTAGGATCGAAGAGAAAATTGAAAAGTTCAGTAGACTAATGATACAGAAAAACTGAGAAGATGCACGAACGCCACTGTTTCCGACACCCAGCCATGTCACTCAGTGTCTCTAACCATCGAGTACGATCTTCTCGAGGTCCCCATACAGGGAGTCTAATGGGATCTATGTGACCCAGACTCCTGGTTAGGGTTTTCATACCCTCGTTCTAGGTTTTAGCTTGACCACCCTGGGCTTTATTCCACCTAATTCCTGCCTCGGCAAAAATCGTTCGCCGTGGCAACCTATTTGGTGACATGCGTAACACATGCCCTTGGCTTATGTGAATTCCGTATCTTCTCTTTGACACTGCTTGCAACATTCGTCCTCTGCTCTTTTATCCAACTGGGCAGCCAAAAGATAGCAACCGAAATTGCCACACGGATTTTATGGGTAATGGTTATGAAAACTGAACTCAACGTACTTATCTTTGGTACTCTCCAAGAACAGTACGATGTGTTTGCGTATGAACGGGTTACCCAGAACCCGACGAGCTGATGGCCGTTTCTCCGGTTTCTGATGGAGCATTGCACGCACTATATCCAACAATTCCGGACTATAGCAGTTTGGCATTTCAGGTATCTGGTAGCATTATTAGACCAGGCAAATATGAACCACTCACCTTTCCGCTCAGTATCTTGTATGAAAGCGCGTTGAAACTTCGCGCATTGAACGCGTGTTTGAGTGTAGACATTTCGTATAGTACACAGCCGAGGGCCCAAATATCAGACTAGTTGGAATTCCCGTATGAGACAATGCGAGGACACAAAAACATTACCTTGTGATTATAGGGTTTGTTTGCAAATAGTTCCGGGCTCATATAATACGGAGTACCGATCATTGTGGTTGCCATTGCACTAGCGCTATCAAGTACTCTACACGCAAAAAAGAAACACCCACAAATATCAAGTAATAGTCAACTACAGATCACTCACCTTGCAATCCCCAAATCTCCCACTTTAATTATGTCGTTTCGAGTCAAAAATATGTTCTGGGTTTTTAGATCGCGGTGTAAAATATTTCTGGAATGCATGTGCTACGAGAAGAGGTGGAAAGGATATTCGGCTTCAAGAAAAGGAAGAACTAACTTGTAAAGCTATTGCAATTTGTATGAACCACTCCACGAGACAACGTTCGGCAAGGAGGCGACCATTTTGTAGTTTCAATCGTGTGGATAGGTCCCCACCTTCACAATATCCCATAGCAATATACAAAAATCCGGACTGGATGAAAGACTCCTTGTACGGAACGATATTTGGATGTTTCAGTTCGGAAAGCAATTTGCATTCAAGCAGAGCTGCCTTGCGTTCCGCGTGTCCTGTTTGTGTAATATCGATTTTCTTTACCACGTACTTTACAATTTCAACTAAATTATTCGTGCAGCTCACCTGTTTATCATCTTTCGATTGTTGACAAAGCCATACTTCTCCATAGGATCCTTTTCCGATGGCCTTGAGGAATTCGTAGCCCCGTATATTTAGTTCCGATTGATCACTGTTTGGCATTACTTGAATTGGAGTCCCTAGAAGCGAGGAGGCCGCTTTCACAACACAGTCTAAAGGATAAGAGAAATACAATTTGATTTTATTTGTACAATTAGTACAATACAATTCAGCACTTCATTCGGGAGTGGGGGCGTGCCAAAACCACTGATGACAACTTGTCTATGTAATAACTAGCAGAGGGTTACCGCTTTGAGGGACTTTAAGTGATAGTGTATACCGTCTATGAGGAATGATTAACATTTGTGAACTATAGCTCAATTATTGTATGAAATTGTATTTGGACAGATTTAAAAACACGTAACCAATTACACAGAACTGGAAAATAGGCCACAACATTTGAACAAAAAATTCACATCCCGGCACAATCTTGTGGACTTATAACACTGACCGAGGAANAACCTCGGGGTTCGCACCGAAGCCTTTGGCTAGAATGACAGACCCGAAAAACAACAGGTCGGAGCTCAGAGAGAGCAGTGTATTGGGCTCCGGTGTCTAGTTAATTTGGATCGTAAGCCCTTTGGACGAGGTCGAACGTCTAAGGTGCTCAATAAACCTTGATGCTCAGTCAAGCCACAGCCAGGAAGGTATGTGTATGGTTCGTACGCCTCTTCTTAATTGATTTGGAATCAGAGTTTTTAGCAAACTGCCCTAGGTGAACTGTCACTGGTTCACCAACCCAGTTATAGCCCCTGCTGTTGGCTTTTCCTTCTCTCACTTTGGTGGGAAAACACCTCATCCACGAGAAGTCAGTGAGTAGTGCTTCCCCAACAGAGACTATTTGAGACGCTAGGTCACGTAGGAGCATTTCGCAACGTACAAGGGTGAGGTGACCAGCCGCAATCCCAGGCACCCATCCCGGCCATGTCGAGGCTTTCGAACTGAAGTTTCATAGAGCGCAACAGTAGATATTTTTGTGAAACGCAGGTGTATCCAGTGGTGATTATACAAACTTCAAGTGGGAACCCAACTACAGAAGTATCCGAAGGAAGAATAAGATTTGAGGACAAAAAGATACATGAACACCTATTCTTTGATCGGTTCTAAACAGATATGTGAATGAATTCGTCAATGTATCTTCTATCTTTTATTGTTGGGCTTTCTGTTAGGATTGAATTCTAATCGGTTTTAAAAGAGAGCCTTACGTGGACATCACTTAGTAATACCGATATGATGATATTCCAAATAGACAGTTCTTTCGAAGCATTTGAATTGTGGGGTTTATTTAAGTTTGAACAGCTGATGGCAATCAACAGACGCTCCTCTTGTATTTTCCTTGGGAATTCATAGACTTACCACGTTCTTGTGCATGCGCTCAAAGTGATGTACATCGATGATGCGATTTGTCGGTGAATGTTGTGGCATTGAAACAAAAGTTTCATTGTCTAAGTCCCGGTTGGGATAAAAATAACATACTCATTGTTTATGATTCCCAGTAAGGACGAAACAATTACCCAAAGCTTTTTATCGATCATCACAACAGTTTAGTGAAGGGGAAAGGCGCTAACAGGTGAAAAATCAAAAATATACTACGGAGAGAAACCATTTTAGGAAAGCAATAAGCACAACCGGTGTACGTAAGTTCTAGGCGAGGTAATTGGTTTGCTGCTTTGATATAGAGTGCAGACGTTAAGTACAACAAAGGGAAGAATATAGTCACACGAGGTCCGGACCGATACTCACTGTATGACGTATATAGAAGGGATCTCGTGTGTTTTGAAAGGGTCCAAAAAAAATAATACGTTTAGGAAATGGAATTTTTTCAAACAAATTTACAAAACTCCACAGAAGTCCACGTCGACCCGGAACTCTGAATAAATGTACCGATTCAAAAGTCGAACTCTCAAGTCAACCAGAAATTTCGATATGTTTTGAAGAGGATTTCAATATATCGCGGCTTATGAACAGGCATGGTGTCAACACAATAACAACAATAATAAAAAGTGGATTTTGATAAAGTGGGAATTACAAGGGAGACACAATAAACAATTCAACACGCTTTGGACCCTAAGGTCCAACGTTGGAACCGTGCTATCAGCATTCAACTCTGATGGTGGGAGCTGAGCTGTATTTCGGTTCAATTTATCACATCCTTTTCTCCCGGGGCTTTATGAGGTTCGCCATTTCAAATTCCAGGCTTAAGTTTACACGTTATCCTCAATGAACACTGAGTCTTTCTGTCTATGAGGCTCGCTCCTGACTTTTCATATATCAACATTTCGTCACAATCGCAAAACCCGTGACGAGTGGTGAACTGATAGACGTACAAACAGCACACAGGCGCATGGAAAGACGATAATCCCATTATTTCATTCATCACATGTACGTTTGACAACGAGTCCTAGTTTGGATCGAAACGTTACAATAAACATTTTACAACTCAGTGTACGCCTCCATTTTCTCTTGAAATATATATATATATATACGTGTGGGGGTGGGGGTGGGTGGGTAGGTGTACATATTACACACGTTAGGGTGATGAACAGAAACCGGAATGGACCCGATGGCCACGAAGATCTGTTGTTTAGTCAAGGAAACCGGTGATACAAGCCCCATGACTTGGATTGGCGAACTACATAAGGCCCTGATCGGTTAGGCGTGGTTTTGAACCGGGAGACAGCATAGCTGTCTACCAGCAAAGTTGGATGGCGGTGGCGGGACTCGAACCTCAAACTACTAGGTCGAAAGAAAGCCGGTGATAGCAACTGAACTACTGCACCGCCAAAACCTTATTCTTACCGTTTACATCCTCCGCGAACGGAAAACGCGATAGCCTAAAGATTGGCACCAGCCTCGAAACTGAGAAGCACCTCAAAACCCAATACAACAGTAATTCTGGTCGTTGTAACCAGCTGAATGTTTGTGGTGTGATGGGCTTGGACTAGGTTACTTTAGTGCGTGGACCTATACCTGTTCAGGTCGGCTTCCAAAAGAGGAATCATAGCTCTGGTTGACCGTGTCTAGAGTTTTTTGTGTTGTCGGCTGCCTCGTTAATTCCAAACAATTCAAATTAACAGATTGTTTTGAAAGGCAGAGGTTGTGTTCAGTGTCCGATCTTTTGCAAGTCTGTGCAGTGACCGCTCCTGCTAATAAACTAGTCAGTTGTTATACCAAGGTGAAGTGCTATCCGGCCTTTACTTAGATACAATCCCGATTGAAATTTCGTTGAGAAGTAGAAGAAGAAAACAGTTCTTTTGATGGAATCCTATCCGAGGCCGTTTGGACCCAAAACGGATGTAAAGTGGACTCAAAAAAGACTCGTACGGGACTCGCCTAAGATTCAGACATAACTAGAACGACCATTCCAAACAACCAAAAAGGACTGTCTTTTACTTGAACATTCAAAGCTTACAGTTATCCCGTAGAACACCTCTTATGAGGTTTAAAGCTCTTACTTGAGTCCGCGGCTGGCGATCTTTACTTCCCGGATCGGAAGTTAGATGTTTACAGGTTTATGAACTGAAAATTTTCTGTCCTTAACACGATATCTAAAATCAATCAGCAAATTTTTCTTACTTAGTTAAAATCGACCGTGCCAGCCCATGTGAGGGCTTCACTTTCTACGGGGACTTCATCAGGGTCCCCTTTGGACGATATCACCATCACTCATCCGTGGTAGGACTCTACTTACAATAGTTCTGTTAGAGTCCCAGTGGTACTCTTGCATAACATGAAATCCAACGAAGTCCAATAATGAATTCATCATGTAATGACTAGTAAAATCAGACAAATGTGAATCACTCAAGACTAATAAGTACCTTTAATAGAAGAAAATGAATATTCGGGTTTTGTTTATTTCAAAATATTTATTGCATGTAATTATTATTTATTATTATTATTTTATTAGGTACGACATTGTCCATATTCTTGCTTTCCAAAATATCTAACTATAAGCCTAGTGGTTCGTTCAATCGGCTTTTCGAAAATGTCTTAGACAACTGAGGTTGCCTACAACACTCGGAAGCAGAAGGCCTGTTCGAATGGGTTTCTAACCTAGATCTCCATAAGTAGGGAGCAAACGTAGCCTCTGATGATTATGCAATCCTGATGAACGGTGACGCACTCAATCAATCACTATCTGATAAATTATTTGAAGGGAATTTGTTCTTATAACTTGTACATTATCTTGATTTTGGTTCTTTTAAGATTCGGTCGATGTACTTGCAATTAAGTCATCTACGGAACAACCGCCTAGTTTTCAATCATGACCCCAAGTTTCGGAGACTAACCGGTAGGTTGCAGCTCTTCATATTGACTGATTGTTAAAAATGCTGGTCCATAAAGGGAAAATGTTCAGGAGATGAAATTTCCCCGTTCGAAATTGATTATTGTTACTTATATTACACAAGCCCAAGTAAAAATTCATATAATGCCATTCACACTACCAGTCTAAAACCTGGTTCTTGGAGGAACAGATGAAAGATCCTTATTACTTCATACAAATTTTAGCTGCTAGTTTGCGTTTACTTGTATTGTCAGAACATGTGTCGGTAAATTTTACTCAATGATGACCTGACAGCGCAATGGGGAAGTTTCTGGCGAAAACTAAATCCAAGATTTAGGGAAGAGGACAGCAACGGAATCAGAAATTATAAGATAAGTGCAATCATCACGATTCCAGTCGGAAGAATATGACCTTGAAAAAGAGGTTGTCGTTACAGATTTGAGAGATTTAACTTATCAATTCCCTCATATAACATTACATTTAAAGTACAATTGTTTCATTTCTTCATTAAATCTTTGAAATCAATTACAATTGTCATTATTTCAGTACGGAGCAGGGCTTCATTCGCGCAACGAGGATTTCTCAATGATGTAGATTAATTGAGAGATGCGTATCGTTCAGTCGATATACCCATATACGCTCAGACTTTCAAGCATGTTATAGCATACAAATTATAATTAATATGCTGGTCTATCCAAGAGCTCGTGGATAGCTCTCTATGGAGCATACAGATAACCGATTTGGCGATTTTCAGTGTCCATCTTAAGAAGGTTTATCAGTACTGTAAAAATACATAAGAGTTGAGATTTTGGCTTCTCGAGAAGTGTCGGAGATTTGAGTACATGTCTAAATTTCGAAATGAGGACCCCATTTTATGTGAATATCTGCCAAATAGTCCATTATTGAAGGAGCCCATTGGGTATCTAATTTCGGTCATTCAAGGCTCTAACTGACCTATAATAGAGCGATGGTCAGAATTGTTACGGCGTAGAAATAAGAGCCGACTGACCTTTAGAATAACAGGCGGCTAAAGATCCTGGGTACAGTATACCAGGGATAGGAACAAGGCGGTGGCGGTAGAACGAGAGCTCAAGCTGGCACAGTGCGCGAAATACCAGCCATAAAGATATTACCGATACATTCAGTAGAAGCGAGCGCTCAGGGAGGTGGGGCCTCTAATATTGAACGTTGGAGATATAGCAGCCCATCAGATAGGAATAGCAGACAAATGCACGTGAGACTAGCGGTGCATTCTAAATTCTTCAGCAACAAGGTAGACACTCCTTGTAACAAGTTATCACTAGAGTTGGTCGAACTTAGGAGCGTACATGCTTTTTAGAAGGGACTTCATAGGCTTTGGTAAGATTTATTTCCGGAAATAGAAGGGTGACATCAAGTTTGTTGGAAGCTTGAACGAAAGATACTCCTAGCAGAGTGACATCTTAAAGATATGCGAATGATCTCACAAATGGGAATTTCCACTTAACAAATTGAAGAGTCACCTGCTTGTCGCAATCCCTTCCTCTACGGTTTCGCAATACGGACGGAGCACACACAATACTAGCCTATAAATCAGAGGCAATCGACCTCGGGATAATAATCTCCAACACATTTTCACCATCTTTTACCGCAGCTTTAAACTACAGCTGGACAAGGCATGATATTTCT